GGTGACAATAGTTGAATAAACTTTTGGCTCTCTAAATGGTATCGGTGCTCTATTTGTTGGTACTCGCCGATACCGATACCACCATTTTAGTGCTGGATCTGGGCCCCGTCTGATACTGGTATCAGTGCAACACTAATACAGAAGACAAAATAAAATGCCAGTAAAACAGGCAGGGTTGATAAAAGGAAGGAAATTTAAGATGAACAAACAGGCAGCCAAATGGTGAGGTGATGAAATAACAGATGACAGAAGGGAGAGAGGAGGGATGGATGTTTAAGATCATGGGAATAATTCACACATTTGAACAATATTTTATCTCCCCTTTTCTTTTTATATTTGGGGAAGTAATAAAGGCATTTTTATTTTATACTATCCCTGACACACCTTGCAAGTGCAGGAACACTGTAAAAAAATAGCTTAATACTTCAGTTTAAAGTCTTAGTTTAAAACTCTTTGCTTTTTCTATGTATTTTTTTTTACATTCTTCATTTTTTTTTGACGAAGATTAATTCTTGTTTTTTCAACCCTAAAGAATGCATTTTAGGAAATCAATAAGTAGGAATCTGGTCCCTGCTCTGCTAAGGGCTAAATAACCCTGTTATAATCTAAAACCTATAATAAATAAGCATTTCCTCTGCAGAGTTGAACACTTCCTGTTCATGTCCCCCGGCTCCGCATCTCCTGGGAATACAGAAGTCACCCTAACAGATGATAATGGAGATTTTTAGGACTAATCGTGATTTAAAACTGGAAAAAATGATCAAGGTTATTCAGAGCCTTTCAAACAGAAGTCCTTCATGAATCAGCACATCCTCCCAGTGCAAAGCTCCGCTCCCTGCGGTGACACCTGTTAACGACATCACCGACCTCAACAGCCGGCCAGCACAATACTGCTGACGCATGGCGGTTACCTGCAGCCATAGTCACTCTACCTCAGTGTGTTGAAAAACCATGTCTACGAACACAACGGTCATAAATTCACTGGGGAGACGAAGCTGATAACTGCTTGTTAATTTTCACAAACATGGAGCAGAATGTTAGTGAGGAAAGATGAATGCAGGAAAGAAGAAAAGCAAAAAAGATCAACCGGTTTCATTTTTAGACGCTCAAGAACAAACACATGCAAAACGCCTGGGATAGAATATTTGGAAGTCAAACTGCATCAATGTTCATCACCAAGAATCCCCTGATTACCAGATGAAATTTGTTAGCTATTTAAATTTATGAAGCTGTCAATATGTTAGCATGATTTGATGAAATTTCTCTCTCTAACATGACAATGAAAACATTTCAGAAGAGAAGCCAGGGTGTAAACTAATGTTACTAAGTGCAAAAACATTTAATGCGTCTTAATAGGGAGACGTAAATATATATATATATATATATTTTTTTTTTTTTGTTTGTTTGTTTTTTATCTGTTTCTCACTTTATTCTTCCTACCACTCCCTAGTTAGTGTATTCTAACCCTTTTTTCTTCTATAGAAAGTACTCCTGGTCCCAAGCTTCTTTGTTAAGCTGTAAAGTTTCCTCACACAAACCCATTTCCTCCCATCCATCTTCGGGTCCCTCCATAAATGCTGAACAGTATAGGGGTGCCTTCCATTTTGTGTTTTAAAGGGGAGGAGTTACTCTACAATGTAAACACATGCTTGTCTAAGCTCTATGCACGCCTAGGGACTGCAAACAAATACAGTTGAAACCAGATATTTACATGCATTGTAGAAACATTTAAGCTTTTTTTCCCCCTTGAAATCTGACAGAATAATGTTTCCCAATTCTTGATCACTTAGGATGACATTTAAATTATTAGAAAAAATTGGATTATTTATTTCTAAGTTATTCATTCACCAACATGACATTAGAAACCAATCGTGTTATCTTTAAACTGAAATTTTCTGTGCTTTTATAGAAGATTTAATATTAGTTTACTTAAATTTCAGCCCAGTGGCTAAACCAGGGTTCCTACAGCATAAGGCAAGTTAAATTCAAGACTTTTTAAGACTTTTT